TAACTTACATACAAAAATTTTAAAGAGAAATTTTTCGATATTATTTAATTAAATAAATTATTTATTTAAATTTTAATTTTGATTGTAATTACACTTAAGAATGTAGAAGTTAGTAACAGAAATATTAAATTTTAAAGTCAAGACTGTAAACTTTTCCTTAGGATAAATGATTAGAATTCACTTCTCGAATGAAAACGTAGAAAATTACTAACTCAAAAATGATTCATTTGTATTAATTTCAATGGTATTTAAACAATTTTTAATTAATAATTAAATTAAACATACCTAAATATACTTTTTACAATAATATAATAACTTATATCATCATAATACTTAATGTTTTATAATATAAAAAATGTAACGATGTAATTAAATATTTTAAAGAAATGTAAATCTTTATATTATATTTTATGTATATAATATCAATAAGTTACTTGTATTTAAGAATTATCTACAGGGAATACAAAAGTAGGTATGGAGAGTTAATTATGGAAAAAAAACAAAAAAAAACATAGAAATAACACATTCTTATACATAAATCACAAATAAAGAATATAAAATATTAAATAATACAAATAAATAATAAAGAATTCCGCTCCAAACATCTTATATTTGTAGATAAATGTATACCTACTTTACTACCCCTTTGTATATGTTTATACTATACAGTACAGTGTATTACAACGGCTTACGTTTCTCTTCAGTAATTATTTGTGGATATTTTTAAGTTTTTAATAGGATAGAAATATATCTACAAAGTTTTAATATCTATGAATGCTAAATTTATTTAGCATAATTCTTGTATAGGTATATAAGGCAAGAAATTAATTGTGTGTGTGTATATATCTTTAAAGATCAATTTTATAAATCAGTTCGCAAACATACAACAGTCTGAAAATAGAAATATACTATTTCACGTTTAAACATTTATACAATCTTTTGTAAATAAGATCGTAACCTTCACTTGAGCACGCACCGAAAACAAATGTTGAAGTCAAATAATAAACATACGCTTTGTTCAGTCGATAATTTAACAATCAAATAATAAAAATTTATATCGCTGCCTTCATAAAAGAGTAATAGACTATACTTAAAACAATACATTAAATTATTATTGTTATTTTTTGTGTTTTTTTTTAATATATTAAAGCATAGAAAATAACTTTATTGATGTAGTTATGGAGATTGTAGACACAGTAACATTACTTCGAAGACTAGCAATATCTTTAATTAAAAAGATAATAAGATATTCTTATCGGTTAGTTTGGAAGGTTTGAAATAAACTAATAACACTATAAATAATAATAATAATGAGTTTTTACTCTGAAAAATTAAGAGAATTTGCCTATAACTTAAGAAATTCTGAAAAAGAAATGGCTTATATAGATCTATATGTGTAATTTTAAATATAAATAAGCTTAGAATTATATATAAATCGACTTTTTAGGAGGTATTGATTTAGAGGTGATGGTTTAACACATACGCAATTTTTATATTTTATATAGGGCCTTGTGCTTTTAGAGGCCTCAGACACAAATATAAGTTATGTTTATCGACATTTTTGTTCTAGTATTCGGAATCCTACACTATTTTAGGACTCTGAATTTTGTACTGCATCAAGGACTTATCTTATTATCATAGGATAAGTCCTTTCTAAATTAATTTATATAATATAAAGGCCCTCGTAAATAGACTTACACGCTTGCTTAAGATCTTGCACAGACTAAAACTGCCACTTTCCAGTAGGCTTTTTAATTCTTTATAGGCGAATTTTTATTAATAAACGTTTAAATGGCATAAATCAATATTTTAATATCAGTAGATTATATTATTTTATTTAAAAAATTAATTTAGTAAGGTTCTTTAGTAAGAATGATTCTTTTTTTTATCTATATGCAATCTATAATTCTAGATAAATTGTGCATTTCAGGAAGTAATAATTAATTTATTTATCATGACTGATTGAAAAATTGAACAATTTATCTAGAATTAATAATTAACGATTTTATAATATATGATGTAGATTATAAAAACGTGAAAATTATTGTATTTAAATTAATAATAATTCAAGTTAATTAAGCTGTTGATTTATTGATATATATTTTTTTTTCAAAGAATTTTTCTCCAATGAAATTCTTAGAGAAAAATGTTAATTAAATACATAAAATCGTGTACTTTGTAATCAATTATTTAATCTTAATAACTTTAAATTAATTAGAAATTTATTTAAAACTCATTTTATAGCAATTAAAAATTAAGAAATTATTTTTAAAAAAAAAAATATTATTTATACAGGATCTGAGAGAATTGAGAAATTATCAAAGCAAAATTTGATTTATAACACTTTTTTATTGCTTATTTTTACATTAAAAAAATTAAATTTTAAGGCCCTTCTGCATTAGGATCTCGAGTAAAATAACCGTGCTGATACCTCTATCTCAGTATAATTTTCATCAATTTTTTTAACGTAAATAAATTAAATATATAACAAAATTATTATATAATTGAGAGATAAGTTATTTTACAAATTATATATAAAAAATATTTAACCATAAACTTAAAATTTATATCGACGATGTGATCTTCTATAAGTCATAAACAATCTCCGTTGATATTGAATGGACTAGAAAGCAAAAAAAAAAAAAAAATATTTGATACTGTATCAAATCTCGAGAAGATTTTCTTTAAAGTTTTATCCAGAAAAATATCTTAACTTTTTCCTTAAAAATTTTCTTATTTATAGGTTCTTTTTTTTATATTTATACTAAAGCCAGATGTAATGTGCCGATTGCACTTCATCATGCAAGACAGGAACGTAAGGAAATTAATCTCATAACCAAGATCCAATAAATCGATATTAAGAAAAACTGCGATAAATCAAAAAAAAAAAAAACAATAAAGAAAACGAAAATAATATTTTATTGGCAAATTTCTTCTTTTATTTATTTATTTTAAAAAAATTAAATAATTTACAATAAAAAGAAAGATGTATTGGAAACATTTTGCATCGTATAGAAGTATATTAAATCAATAATAATTTTTTTTCTTATAAAATTTATCCTTATTTCTTTGTAAAATATATATATATATTATTTTGAGAAGGAGAGAACTGTAAAAAATAAATGAATTATCTTAATTTTTACAGTAAAAATTTCGTATTATTTAATTGAATAAAGTTAGGAAAGATGCCTCGAGAAAGATATACCCATTTTTCTTTTAAAAGAAATAAGAAAAAATATTGTTTTTTTTTTTAATCGAATTTAAAAACTTTCTTATCGAATAGCGAGAGAAAGCACTTACAGAATTGCATATAAGTAAATTTTTCCAACTCAAATATTGGTCATCTATCCTCCAGAGAACAACTTTCTTTCAACTTAACTTACACGAATAAGTAAACTTATATTATTGTAAGTTATAAAACGGCAATATAAGAACTTTTTTATAATTTTATTTACTCGTTTCTAACAGTTTTTACAGCATTAAACTTCTAAGAAAAGTTACTCTATAATGTAATATAATCTTTCGCGTATTAAACTGATAATCTATTAAAATTAAATTAAGTTCGTGTAAATTATTAACATTATAAACAATTCGAGTAATAAATTTTTAAGTTTTACAATTACTTGGAAATTTATTTTTTTTTAAATGATGTGTAATTTTATTTTCGTTATTAAATATAACGACATCATCATCACACTTGACAGTTTATACTTACACAATAGGATCGATTGGAAAGAAATGGGGAGGGGTGATTCTTCTATACCTGGACGAGATGGATAACTCTACCTTTCCTAACAACATCTATTGATCCCTGACGTCATCCTGGATGCCAAAAATAAGAAATGCTGATCTTTCGGAAAAGAGGTTTCGAGCATCCTCCAGACGTGTAACGTTTGCAAATAAATTTATTTTGCCGATTTGCAAATTTCATATACAGTAGTACCTATTTTTTTATTTTTTATTAATATTTTAAAATTAAAAAATCGATTAGAAAAGAGAATTCGGGAGGAAAAAAAATGATGCTATAGATTAGTTCCTTCACAGTTTACCTTTATATATAACTCATATATATATAAGTGGACTTACCGATCGTCATAAATTTATATATTTAAACGAATTTTAGGATGATTAAAAATGTGATTTTTAAATGATGATGATGATGATGATGATGATGATGATGATGGAGATGAATTGTTAACGATACCCAGCGGTTTTATAATTATATTTTTAAGGATTTTTATCGTGTTTCTTAATGCTGATGTACGTAATCACCCGAGGAAAATTCTAACTTGTGTGGCCTGTAGATAAGATATCTGTTAGTAGACAACAGTGTAGCTGTATGGATAAAATTCCTGCGTGCGCAATTCCATCTCTTAAAAATTATGACACCTTACATTATTTAAAGAAAAATACGGCATAATTTCTAAGCTATCGCGTGGTTAAAGCTATCATTTTTATATATTCGAAAGGTATTTTTAGAAGGAACGTTTTAAATATGAATGAATTAATAATTAACTCGAAATGTCTGACTCCAACGTTATTCTAGGGTCGTTACACTCGAACTAAAATTATTTAAGAAACGTAAAAAAAAAGAAATAAATAAATAAAATAAAATAAAACTAGACGGATCGAACTTTATTGACATCATAATGACGACAAAGCGGAGGTGAGCAAAATTGAGATTGAAATAAAGAAGAGTAGAAATGACGTGATGTTATGGCCATAAACACATTCAGCCTGAGTAGGATATCTTCTGTCACGATCGTAGACAAGTTTGCTATAAATATCATCCCTCTGCTAGAAGTACACGTGACTTGTAAATCAATGCTGATGTTATTACTAAGTCAAAAGGGGAATAGAACGAGAAACTGGACACGGATTGAATCGTTCAACGAGGAACTATGCTATTATTTTGTACATTTATTATATAAAAATTTATAAATTTTAATACCTTTTATATTATTAAAACATAAATTTATTCTTATTATTTCGTTATACAGATGTCAGACACGAAGAAAACAAGCGATAAGCAGCCAACAGATAAACCGCCATCTTCACCAGCCGCAATTGCTGCTTCTAATGTCACCACAGGGACCATACCCTCGCAAGAAACTCCGGTACGTTTAAAAGGAGAAAATTCAATTGCAAAATCGGATAATAGCGAGGAAACTAAAGTAATTACTAACGGTACTCCTCGTACCAAAAGGTCTACGGATCGTGCAGCGACGGAGTCGCAACCGGGCACTTCTTCGCCTTGTGCTGACAAAATATGTGTCGAACAAGTGCAGTTAAAGACTAGTGAAGGTGTGAATGCAGATTCGGACGAAACGAGTCCAATTGGGACCGATACAATTATCGGAGGGACCAATGGCGATGGCAGTATCACAACTAATGCAAGGAGTAAAGGAAAAAAAGACGGACACGCGAGGAATTCTAGATCTTGCTGTTTTTGTTGGTGCTGCTGTTGCAGTTGCTCATGGTAAGTTTTAAAGAATATTGTTTTTATATATAATACACAGCGAATTGTAACTAAATATGTTTTTTTTCGATAAAAAATATTAATAAATTTAGTAGAAAAACATTTATAAACATAAGCGGTCTTCTGCGATATAAGTAAGAGAGCATCTGAAATGTACAATGTTTTAATTGTCGCTGATTGGTGAAGTTTAAATTTTGTCAGAAACGATTGGTTGAAGATATAATTTGCTTAATGTTAACTGATTTAAAGTTAAAAAAATCGTTTAGTTTGGTATTAAATTTCTTTCAAATAATTATTGCTAAACTCTGCAAACACGTTTAACTAACATTTTGGACATTGTGTATTTACACCTGAAATTTATATTCGTATCGCAGAATATTTACTACGATTACTGAATACTGCAATTATTCCTTATTTATACATAAATATTATGCATTACGGACACATTTAAATAAATAGAAACTACATTTTTCTTTTATTTTAAAACTGATATCATACCAAAAAAAAAATCAGTCGTTAAATCGTTCTAAGAATTTGTAACAAATATAAATTATTGTAAATTTTTAAAGCGATTAACCCAAATATTTAAAATGTGAAGGAAAAGAAAAAAAAAATACTTGAAAATATTAAAAAATTTAATTTATAAATGGCCTATAAAAATTTTTATGGGCCATCTAATGGCATTTAGAAGTTATAAAAGAAGTCATTAACCGTTTATCAAAATATTCTATAGTCGAAAGAAGCTTTAATGAAATATCTATTAATATAAATTTAACGAAAAATTAGTTCCTTCGTTAGTTTCTAAATGTATTCTGTACCGTAATAATTGATTATAATGAAAGATCAATTTTATTCAACGAAATATGACAACGTGTAACTGGATGATAATCATCAGTTCTTTCATAATTAATTAAATGACATGATTATATTTACAAATTTCTTTAAACAAACTTAAAGCATTGATCCGGCATTTTCATTATTCGTAATTATTTTCTGTTCTAATCATTACTTTTAAATACAATTCTTACGCACGACATCAAATATCCTGTAAAAAATGTACTGTGCAACGTTACTACAAATGTTTTAACGCTAATAAAATTCATTTTCCTTCGAAAGAAAGAGAAGAAATTTTATATAAATTCATTTAACCATTATAAAAATAACTTTACAATTAATTAATTAAAAATTAAAAATAATTCAATTGAATTTTTAATCATGTTTTCATCAGAAAAATACGTGTTTTAAATTCAATTTACGACTCGGTGTTTGTATGTTTTAAGTTACAATTATACAAAACATTTTAATAAATACGGTTAACTGACTTTTGGAATCTATTTTTAAATTGAAATTGTTCATTTTTTGTTAATAATTATAAGTTTTATAACAAAATTATGAGTAAATCGTGGAGAGTAAGGTTCAGACAGGCTCTGCTTACGTTGCGTTACGTTACGTCTAGCGTTATTTGTAACGTCTTAAGTTATTTAAGACGTCTTCTTTGATTGACTAGACGTAACGTAACGTAAGAAGAACCGGTCTAAAGGCAGCCTAATTCGTAACCTTTGTGTAGTTCGTGTTACTACGACTATATATAATTTGGTTATTGTTTCTGTGTTTTTCAGCTATATTTTTCTATTTTGAATCTATTTATTTGATAGAAATTAAGAAAATTATTACATAAACTTAAATAAAATGCTAGAAATATTTATTTTGTGTTAATTTATATTTATTTAATTCTATAAAATTAGTTTTAGAAATGTAAAGAATAGCTTCGAGGTTTAATTGTTTATGAAAGAACGGGTAAATTCCTTTTACGTCTTCCTATTAAATATATATCAATTCTCATTAAATTAAAAAAAACAATTGCCAAATTTAATTCTGTTTATAAATTTTATCATCCTCCAATAGAAAACTTTAAAATCATAATACAAAATGATTAATATTTATTCATTTTCCATCCTTTAGGGAGCAGGAGATGTCAATAGGAATGAAAATTTCAATGAAATTTTTTTTTAGTAAAATAATAGAAGCTTTAAGCCAATAGGATCAGAGAAAACAGAATTTTGAAATTCTCTCTTCTTTCATTCTATTGGCTTAAAAATAAACTACACAAGAAAAAGAAAAATAAGAATTCTGAAGAATAAAAACAAATAAAATAATAAAACTGATATTACATCATTGTTTGTGTTTAATAAATGGTTTTTCATGCTTTTCTACATTTCATGTTCTAGTCTTTTTTTTTTTTTTTCTATTGAATCGAAGCAAAGAAATATATTCCCTATTCGTCGACTCTATGATATGTCCACATGTCTGCTTTCATTGTTCCCTATTCAGCCAATCGAATCGAAGAAGACATGCTTCGGTAGTTGTTTTATTTCGAATCTATGAATGTAACCAAAAGATTTTATTTGATTTTTTATCCTTACTGACATTGCTTACTTCCTGAAGAATGACACTACATTTTTTGCATACGAAACCGCTATCTTTTATAATAAATTTATTTAGAATTTATGTTGCTTGTAAAAAAAACATTATGAGCTTTGAAAAATGTATAGGGGGGAGATCGGGGCAAGATCGGCATGTTAAGCTTTACTTAAATTTTGTGTAATAAATACTGCTGTAAACTGAAAAAAAAGCTTTGCATATTGTCTATTGGAATGTTACCTTACTATAGAACTGGTTAAAATCAGTTTGGAAATAAAAATAATTAAAATAATTACAACTTTACAAGAAGAGAGAAATTGACGAAGTTGCCCCGGGTATAGGGGCAAGATCGGCAACTTCTCTCTTTTTGTAAAGTTGTAATTATTTTAATTATTTTTATTAAAGTTGCCCCTGGTATAGGGGCAACAGTAATGGGGCAAGATAGGCACGTATATAAAATTATGTTATTAACAATGTATAAGTTGGAATTCACTATTAAAACAAAGAAATACAAATCCAACACCCATTTAATATTATTACAACGAAATGCAAGTTCAAAGACATATATACATGAATAACAAATGCAAACATGTTTTCATTTATCATCTGTTTGATTTTTATCCTTTGCTTCTAATGTGGCTTTATGTTGCCGATCTTACCCCGCTAGTCATGATTTCGAAACATTAAGTACAACCCTGAGAACAGAATGCCAAGCCACGATCTGGCCACGTGAATAAGTTGAAGTTACATCCTTCTAACAGGAAAAGTAACTTTCGTTATCATGGAATTATAACAAAACCTGCCAATTCAATATAAATGGAAAAAAAATATTATATGGAATTGAACGAAAATGAAAATTTGCTTGATAATTCAACTACGCTTGTTGGAGAACAATAAAAACACTACACTCAACAAGCCACCAATGAAACTCAACTGCCTAACCTATAATCAAAGTTTTTTTTTAATTTGTTTTTTAAAAAAAGCGCTTGACAAACTTGCCCCGCATGCCGAAGTTGCCCCGATCTCCCCTAAATTACTTCAAAATAATATTTTTTAATCGTAATATGCTTCCTCATTTATCATTAATAGCTTTAATCATTATATGAAATTATCTTTCTCACTGTTTCTTCTTTTTATTGTAATTCAAGTTTTATATCATAATAAAAAATATAAAAAAATTATTGTAATAAGTCTTAATAATTATCATACTCGCAAATTTTCATAATAAATGCTTTATTATCTCATGCCATTCAGTGCTTTCAGCCTTTTTCTTTTAGTAAATCCATGTACAAATCCATGGATTGCAAGAACTTTATTATGTACAAGTAACTAGTACATGAAGTTCTTGCTTTTAATGAAAACTTTTTGTATTGCTTAACCTTTTATCTATACTTTATTCAATTACTTTTCTCTGATATTTACCATCCTCCATCTTTTTTGAGCCGTTCTCTTCATTTCCTATCAATTCCCATCTTCACAATCTTCTTTTTAATGCATCCCCATCACTCCAACATTCTCAATTCTGCATTCTCTACTGTACTGTATTGTATTGTACTATATTGAAGTACTATACTTAAGTACACTATAGTACATTTTGAACGTTCTTCCATCAGCTTTGATGGAGGAACGTTTAAAAGTAGATTTTTTGAGACTTTTTAAATGAAATAAAACAGCATTAAAAATTGTATTGTATATTTAAATAATTAAATTTATCTTTGAATTTTTAAATACACATGAAATGCAATAATTTGTAATAAATGTTTTTAAGATTTTTGTAATTCATAGCGCTCGTAATATTGTTGTTTTTTTTTCCTTCATCACTATCGTCGCTCAGTGTCAATATAACAGTAGCAGATCTATTTGCCATTATAGCCGAAACGATTCTATCTTCGTTTAATGACTCGGCACATTCAACATCTTTATCGATATCCACGAATTTATCTAAATTGAAGTCAAGTTAGTAGTCATTAAAAACAATTCTATATTACTTTTCCCATCGATCTAACCAACTATTGTTTGCCACAAAACTACTAATTCCAAGGTTTTGAGTAAACTTTTCTGCTTTCGCAAGTAAAATTTTACCAGTAATTGTAATATTAGTGGTCATAATCCCCCCAAAACCATTGATACAATGCAGTATCAACATTTTCAACAATACATTTTCGATTAGTACTGCTTGAAAAGGCCATTTCTCGCAATTGTTCTTTAGATTTGAAACTTTTACGCACAGTTGATGGGAGTCCATTAAAAGAAGCAACGATTTCCAGCTTCTTTTTCACATCTAGTTCAGTACATTTTCGGTTTTTCTTCCATCAGATTTTTACTATTTTCTAATTTGCATATTGTAATTCCTGTATTCATTGAATCTTCTATTGAAAAACTCTTATTTTCAAATATTACATTTTAATATATAACTTTCAATATTATTTTTTTAAAATAGTAATAATTTATAAGTAAATTTACATACAATGTATAAACGGTAAAACCCTTTCATTATATAATCTATCATCTTCAAAGGGATTTTGTTTTTTCATTCTTACTGCCCTATAGGCACTTAGAGGACAATCTCATAAATATAA